CAGCAGGAGCTTTACAAAACAGTGAGTAAGGTACTCCCATCACACTGATCAGTGTGCCCAGATAGGTGCATTTTGTCATTGAAAAGGTCATTATTAGTCATTTCTGCCCTGTGGTTCTCCTGGGGTTTTCACCTTCTGTGTCCCAGTTTGTTATTAGGAAAACAAAGACCAACTAAATAGAACTCAGCACCAAGACACTGGCAGAGCTGCAGCTGGAAGCCTCCAGTCAACTGAAAACTTCACGGACCTGAGTAGTGGTGTGGAAGAGACAGTTGCAATCACAGGATTTTGGAGAGGGGAAGTTAAAACATTTTGTCCAACTGTTCTGTTTTGTTTTGTTTAATTTCACAAGAGAGAAAAATAAAGGCAAGCAAAATAAGACCACATATTTAAGATCACCCAGTTGGGCTGCATCTGGTCACGCTACCTCTTAGTTAACCCATGTATCCAGATGTCAATTCATCATAAGGATTATTCAGTTTTTGTTTGTTTTGTTTTTAGATAGGGTTTCAGCCTACTTCGCAGCTAGGACTACAGCTAGGACTTCACAGCTAGGGCACGTACCACCATGCCCAGCTTTGAGAGTTGGCCGGGAATTGGACCTGGGCCTCCCATGTGGCCTCGGTCTGCTAGGGAGCCAGTGACCGAGGCTGGGCCGACAGATGGTAATTTTACTGTTTTACTGGGTCTCTGACTCAACTCCTTTCATAAGGAGATAGAAATATACAGGAAGAACCTCATTTTGTTAGCAGTTAAATTTAGGATAAGCTCTAGACTCTAATGAACAATTAATGATTTTTCACACTCCTCTGATCATGGGCTAGGCATTTCCATAAACATTGCCTCGACGCAATGAAAGAGAAAGCCAGTGTAAAAATAAACAACAATAAGAAAAATACAACTAAACTTTTCCATAGCTAAATAAGTGTTTTGACATCCCAATTTTTGGATTTCAGTTTTAAGAGAAACCGTGTGCTTCTCAAAATTGTTAATGAGTAGCAAATGTTCACAGTGGTTTGAGGCAGATGGCACAAAGCTGAGGTCCTGGCGTCCATACTGAACTTGGTCAGGCAAGGGAGTTAAAAAGAGAAAGCCTACGTTTCATATTTCTGATGGTTCTCTTCCTCCTGAATATTTCTTATAAATCTGTTTTATTTAATAAAAAGAAAAGGCCTATAATTTATGATTTCATTGAAACAGATTTAATTTCTAAAAGATTGATTAATTTCTAAAAGATTGAAAAAACAAGGTGGAAATGCTCAAATGTCCATCAGTAGATGAATGGATAGACAGAATGCCATGTAGCCACAGAATGATTATTCAGCCACAAAAGGGGAGGAAGGACTGACAGTCTGCAACATGCGTAAGCCTTGAAAACATTATGCTAAGTGAAAGAAATCAGTTAGAAAAGATCACGTGTTATGGTTCCATTCATACAAAAATGTAGAACCGGGATCTCTATAGAAATAAATTCTAAAATATTCTAAATATTATAAAAAATATTCTAAGAGAGTAATTCTAAAAGACTGATTTAATTTTTAAAAGATTGCCTTTCTGGGCAAACTCCTCATGTGTCTCCTGTATCTAATCAAGAATCTGTTATTGCAATGGGAAATATTTGGCATATATATATGTAAACTGAACAAAGATGAGCTGGTGTTTGGTGCAAACCATTAACTTTAAAAAACAAAAGATTATTAAAACTGATAAATCAGGGTGACAGGTCATCTTCTTTTCCAAATGCCATTATAGATGCCATCTGATCACTGACCACGATCATCTTTGAGCAGAGATGATTCTGGGAAGAAGGCTGGAAACTAAGAGATGGTAATGTAGGATTAAGAAGATCTGAGGTCCATGATGAATACGGAAGAGGAAAATGTGTTCTCTTATGAAAAGTAACGATTCAGATTTTTAAGTTATAAGTTTAAGTTATAAATTCAGATTTTTAAGTTATATTGTGATACGATTCACATACTATAGAAATATCCATTGAAAGTGTACAAATCCAATGAGTTTTAGTCCTTTCACAGATCCATGCCACCGTCAGTCAGTTCTAGGATCCTCCCTCACAAAACTCCATCACTCTTAATTTGTCTACCAGCACTAAGAAAACACCAATCTGCTTTCTATTTCTACAGAGTTCACTATTCTACACTTCCATACGAATGGAACCATAACACGTGGTAATTTCTTTTACTTAGCATAATGTTCTCAAGGCTTATGCATGTTGCACCATCAGCCCTTCCTCCCCTTTTGTGGCTGAATAATCATTTTATGGCCACATAGCATTCTGTTTATCCATTCACCTACTGATGGACATTTGAGCATTCCCACCTTTTTTTTTCCCACTTGCTTGATGAGGTTCAATTCAGTTATTTTTGAAAGACTCAGAAAACTACATTACTATAATTCTAGTTGTCACATGTTTTAAAAAACTTTTATTAAAAAATATACTGAATATTAATAAGACATTAACTTAGAGTGTGGATTTTTCACCGCATCAGTAGAAGGACTAGATCTCACTGTTACGCTGTGAAGCTGATTTTATGCTGGGGAAGCATGCAAGTGCCCAGGTTTCACCAGGCCAGAGAAGGAAATGCTGTGTGACCAGACTTGGTACAAGATTCTCATCCCTTTCTTTCTCTCTCTCTCACTTGCACACACATGTGCTCTATTACAAATAAAGAAAGGAAAAAGCTGCATGTCCTTTCTGGTTCTGTTACTCACAGTGTGACAGTTGGCGAATTATCCATCTACTCTGAGTCTTAGTGACCTAGTCCACAAAAATCGGGATTGAACTACAACCGTGGTTTTATTGAATCAATGGAAACTTTATTTTCAATGAAATGTTAGGTGGAATCTTAATATATAGAATAAATAAAAGATTTTGTCTCAGTCATATAAGTTTATTGTTAAAACTCAAATTTACATCATTTTAAAAAGTTAAATCAGTGACTATCGAATTATTAATGTGAACTTCCAGAAACCCAAGGTTAACATGCACATTTGAAACCCAAGGTAAACGGGTGACAGTTGCAATCTTCTTTGGGTGTCAACATTCAGTTTGGTTCTATATTCCTTATTAACTTTAGAAAAATCTGATATTCAGAGGAATCACAAAGGATTGCTTGCAAATTCAATGAGCCCTTTAAAAGCTTGCCATGCAATCTCACAACACTCTCCAGGTGAATAAAATGGGTAGGAAGGTTATTCTTTAGAGCATTTTTACTGTTATGAGTGATTTATGCTAAAATGTATTTCCAAGTAAATTTAAATCAAGTGTTTATAAAATGCCTGCA